ACTAAGCGTGAATTTATTTGTTTATTTCGCCAAAGCTTCTGATTTCGTATATTTTCTATTTTCAGTTCTAACTAAGAAAATGGCTAGGTTCAATTTGAAACAAAACTTAAACATTAAGTTTCGGGCTTTCCTTTATTTCAGTTTTGTTTTAATGATATCAAAAGCGTCCCTTACTGTGTTTATTCTTTAATTTAGAAACAAAGTTCAAACATGTTTTCAAAGATCATCACCGCTTTATTTGCTGTTAATGTTGTCTCTGCCGCGAAGGGACCCATCGATTCCAAGTTACGGGTGCTCGAACCAATCCTAAAGTGTTATGATGGAAACGCTCCCGAATTTGCTGGCTTGGGGGCGTTGGCAGCAAGCCTCAATCTCGATTCAGATGCCGACGACCTTGAATTGTCGTGCGTACATGCTAAGGTAAGTTCACAAACGAAATTGATGCAAGACAAACGAAGCCAAGATATATTTAAACGAGACTAAATTTCACCCATTCACCCATCGATCCGTGCATTTTTTTTAAATGGATGCAATTTTATTTCCAACGAAAATATCGATGCCAGCTGTGAAAACACAGGGAGACCTCACCTTAACGGAAAAGGGGTCTATGAGCTGGTCGGCAATTTTAGAAAACCCACCTAGCCAATTACGCACTCACTCACTCACTCACTCGTACCTTTTGATAAAAGTACAATTGATCAAGTTCATATAAAGTTTTGTAAACAGTCACTAAACGTTCCATGATATACAAAAAATATTGCTTGCGGAGCAGACCTTGCGTGGTATCCTTTAAGCATCGACATAAGAGCATCAATCTTCAGCTACTGGCAAAGATTGAAGCATTCCACTAACAACGTTTTGTTACGAGAAGCATTTCAATATACAACAAAAAATAAACCCTTCTTCAACATTCAACAGAATGAAGAAATCAATAAAAAGTGTAAAGTAAACGAACCAGTAACCCAGCAAGACATCAAGAATACACAATTAGTTATAAAGAAAACCCTCAGGGATCAATATCTATAGAACTGGCTTGGCACCAAGAATAGGTCATCAACAAGTTTAACAGAGAAATCTACACAAAAGGAAGTTAAAAATAATTATCAATTTGAAAACTACCTGACATTAATTACAAAGCCAGCACACAGAATTAGCCTGACAAGGCTTAGATTAGGATGTAATACATTACGAATACAAACTGGCAAATATGAAAATAGAGGCACATTAATCCCAGTCGAAGAACGAAGGCACAATAAAGAATACTATTACCATCACTATACACCGAATGCAAATATGGCGTCCAATTTGAGTTGCCATTGTTCTGGACTCACTAGCCTCTCACACATGTAATAATCCTTTTGTATTTCCACGCGAAGACGAGGCTAGTGAGTCCAGAACAATGGCAATTCAAACTGGACGCCATATTTGCATTCCGTGTAATACTCACTCACTCACTCACGCACTCACTCACTCACGCTCACTCACTCACTCACTCACTCACTCGCATTCACTCACTCACTCACTCACGCTCACTCACTCACTCACACTCACTCACTCACATTCACTCACTCACTCACTCACTCACTAACTCACTCACTCACTAACTCACTCACTGACACTCACTCACTAACTCACTCACTCACTTACTCACTTACTCACTCACACTCACTCACTCACACTCACTCACTCACTCACTCACACTCCCTTCACTCACTTACTCACTCACTCGCACTCACTCACTCACTCGCACTCACTCACTCACTCACTCACTCACTTACCAGGAGCCAAGTGACTCATTTCTTTCTTTATTTGTTTATTTATCTATTTAATGATGAAAAGTTCTTAGTTTCTTTCCTTTGCTTCATTTTATCAGGATTCTGTTACATGCTTGGCAGACGTTCTGGAGAATACTCCTTCTCCAGTCCCAAAAGTTTTCCTGTTCTATGGTGCTCTGGCTTATCAGATCGCCTATTTTCTCAAGGAAGCAAATCTTTGTCCAGGGATAGAGTACGAAGACCTGAAGAGAATTGTGTTAAAATCAGGTAGGTATCTTTTTAAATTAAAGTACAAAAATAGGTTGAAAGATCTTTTCAGCAGATTTCATTTGAATGGTTGCGTTCGAAGGATCCATCGACAGACTCAAACCACTACGATCACCTTGTGCTGCCCAATAAACAGCAACACAGGCAAGTACTGCTGAGTAGGATTTCATTTGAATGGCAACACTTAAAAATTTATTCCACAGATTCAAAAGTTAAAACTACCTCGTACAGTATAATAAACAGTACCACATGAAAGTAATGCTCAATAGCTTTCCTTTGCTTGGTCCCAGCGGCTTAAGAATCTCGTTGACAGACTCATAAAAAAGAATCACTTTATATAGCATTGCTACCGCAGGAGAACTATTAGACTTTTTAATTGATTTGTTTGCTTTTTGAACATTTCATGTAGTTGAACATGAATTTTGTAGCTTTTTCGTACCTAGATGTGACCACATGGTTTTTGGAACAAAGAAAAATAATGCAATTAGGTTAAGAGTTGGTAGTGGACAGACCTTGGACATAAAATGGATATCAAAATGTTTCCCGGTGTAAGTAAACTGGATTTGGGCGCCGCGGGAACGAGCATGCTAATAATAAAACACATATTTATGTATACCGCACATGTGAATACTGCTTTCCGCGCATTCTGATTGGCTAGCTTAGAGGTTAGTGACAAATACTATTCACCTCTAAGCAAACGGAGAAAAACAAAATGGCTTCCCGTTTTGCTCTGTTTACCGAGGAGCAAATTTTATCCACAGATTAAACGAGACCGCTGTTCCGAAAAATCCAAAAAAATGGCAACAAAGTTTATTCTGACTGTATTTAATGTTACTTTGTTCGATCTTTCCAAATTCAAATCTTAAAATGCTGGCAGAAAAGAGGTACAATGCCTTGTTTACGTGAACTGTCCAGCACTACATAAGCATAAAAGACGAAACATTTACGTTTTGAAGCATGACTTTAACAGCAAGATGAGTTTGAAATACCTATGGAAGAAGTGTCACCCAGGCAATGAACCCTTTCTTCTCTAGGAGTGAGATACAGCTTTCATTCTGTAATTGCCATAAAATTTTACTCATCAAAGGGAGGCCCCTGAAGGGTGGGGTGGGGGGGGACATGCATTTAAGAGAAATTTTAGGAAGTTTAAAAAGGGATTAAAAGGAAAGAAATGTTTTGGACACCCAGAAAATTGAAAGCCCTCGAAAGGGCAATCAATTTTTAACTTCAAATCCTAATTTTTGAAACAACATGAATTCTTCAAAATTTCCTATTTCCATAAATTTTACTCACCCTTGAGAAAAATCATTTTCCCCCAAATATACCCAGAAATCACCAAAATATTTACAAAACAGCCCCAGACGTAGATATATGAGATGAGAAGAGAGTTTTGTGACTGCTTTCTTTTACCACAAGAAATCACTTGCCGCAAAGGAGCATCAGCGTGATTTTCATTCTTTTCTGTTGTGCATTTGTAGCTCTTTTTTTTGGAAATAAAGCACATTTTCAATCAGCTGATTATTCAACTTGTGTGGCATATACTACAAAAAATATTCACCTCAGTGTCAGTGAAAGCGGTTGATATTTACCTCGCCGCGGCTAGGTAACTATCCACCACCAATTACCCATTAATCACCCACACCGGAGGTGAATAGTTGTTAAATAAAACTTGGTAGAATTCAGTTATCTCTGCCCGATATACCGGGATAAACCGGGATATACCGGGATATACCGGGATATACCGGGATATACCGGGATACCATATATATCAATATATGTTGCAGTCCTTTTTCCACGAAGTTAACGTTGTTCACGTTTGCTTCATTTCGTAGGCATAATAAAGAACGAAGGGCTCTCAAATATTGGTGAGTAACAACGTTTATTTCTCCTTAAAAACATGTAAACAATAGCCTCCAATTGGCGCGAAAATATCCTTGGATATTTGTCCGCGGACAAATATCTAAGTATATTTTCGCGCCAAATGGAGGCTATTGACTTTATTAGTCTTCAAATGTTTCACTATGCGCGCGGTTTTTAAATTGAAGAATCTTCTCGGATATTCTACAGTTTCAGCTTGGGAATATTCGGTCACGTGACCCGTTAACACCAATCGTGCGCGAGCGAAAATGTTTGATGGATTATAAGATATAACATCTGCGAAAAATGCAAATTTTGAGAATAAGGGAAGTGATTGAGAAATGTAAAGAAATATATGAGAATAGTTCGATTTTGTCCAGCTTCTGTTGAAAAAGTGACCCGATCTCCTCATTCAAACGCCACTTTTCAAGCATCAAGATGAGTGTGTCTGCTGTCAAGCAAAGTTCTCAACAATAAGGAGGCTCAAAACATTCATTTTGGCCATAAATAGAGGATAACTTTTAAAATCAAACGTTCTCATAGAAGACAAGCCTGGATTTTTGATAATATGTTGTAAATTCTCCCCCAGCCCTCCCCCCATCCCGCGCCGCGCATTACGCATTACCGGTATAGTAGAAAAGGGGGAAGAAACAGACTTGAGTTACCCTTCCCTCCTTCCTGTCTTGGCTCAGGGCAATGACTGTCTAATATGGAAAATTGAGTGGTATTATACGTGTGATACAAGTTAATTTCAACAAAATCCGAACTTTTCAGCACGTGAATAAACCATACCCGATCAGTCTTCATAAAGTGTTCTACAGTCAATCATTTATTAACTTGGTCGTGAAGAATGAGGGATGGGGAGGGGGGTTAAAAGAGAGAGGGGGTTAATGACTTTCTTCCTCTGGAAAAATGCTTTTAATTCGTTTCCAAGCAACAGCTGTTATCATAGCAATATTGGGTTGTCTTGAAATCCAGTCTGAATCTAGAGACGGTATTCTAGTGGTAGGGTCAAAGAGTACGCCGGAGAATACGCCATGAAGGATCTTGAAAGTAAGAAGTACTAACACATTTATCCACTCCGCAGAGAATGATCTTTATCACAAATGCGCTGGAGATGCCATGAAGAAGTGCCTGATTAAAGGAAGCATGGACTTGTTCGAGCATAAGCAGGGAGACCCTGATGTAGTCGATAAAGCATATGATGAGTATATTCGTTGCATAGAAGAACAGACCAAGACCTGCAATCACCCCATTATGCGCCACTTTTTTGAAATGATTGAAGCGTTCAAGAAACATGTCAAGCAGTTGGAAATGCTTGAATCAGAAGAGCAACAGGGGTAGAAATATCGAGCCTTTAAGTTGCTTTTTTCATGTTCATGTAATTGCAATCAACGTAGAAGAAAAATAGCAAGTTTACAACATGTTCGACTTAGATTTTTAACTATCCCATTGATAGTTAAAAAGACTTAGAAATAACTGAGTTTGTGCACTCTTAATTCAAGACTTCAACATTCTTACGCTAACAACGCCCTGGGAATTAATCTTTTGAAGACGGCGTGTTCTCACTCCCACTCCTTTTCCTAAGGCCTTGTAGGGAAAAGATGTTTATAAAATACCCCACCATAAAGTCTCCTGATACAAACGTTTAGCTTCATTCCGTAGCCATTAATGCGTTTCGGTGAGAAATGCTAGTTGATACTACCTTTCAAACTATTCATATTTATGTCACGAACTGTGGCAGCGTCTAAATATGGTCATGGGTGTCTCAATCTTCGTCCTGAGTATGCAAGAGATATCCTGCGATATACGTCATTTCGTGTGTCGGGGAGAAAAAATGGCGGATTTTTCAGCTTTTCTGCAAACTGATTGACAAACTCGATAAATTGTTCAATGACTTCTCAGGAACTCAACGCAATTGAATTCCCTAAAAGAGATGTTGAAGTTTTGAAATGATCGCCTTATTAATGGCAAATCGCACTTACTTGGAATAAACCTAAAAGATTAAACTTAGTTGTAACGGTTTACACAATTCTTTTTACACCTAAAGTGAAATGTAAGCGGCTCGTGTCATAACAAGTGGCATAGATTTTAACAGCGACAGCAAACTTGTAAAACGTATAGAGATAGTATCACTTGTATTTGAGAGAGATCATGAGAAAATAAAGTGATATGCATGCAGAGATGGCTTTATTTGTAGTAAGCTATTCTGTATTAACTGCTGTTCTGGGTCCTCTTTTCTTTTAAAGGAGGGGCTGCAAAATGTGGCTTAGCCCAGCCACTACTGTTCTATCGACTTCCTAGCCCATACTACCTTACCCTCACTTAATTTGGACAAAAAAAGTCGCCAAATTTAATACTCGCGAAATATAGGACAAGCGGAGATTAAAATCGCGAGATTGAATACCATATAATATCAATTAATAATGAAAATCAAGCTGTTTTACTATTGTTATTCAAAAATGTCTCAGGTTCATGTTTGAGAGAGTTTTGCTTGATTTTGTCCATCATTTATCTTCCACTACATCAGATACCGACCAGATACCGACCCTTGTAGATACCGACCGTTTTCTTGTTGATTGGCACAGCAAAAAGCGAGGATCTGTGTACTGTGAATATCTTGAAGACTAAGTCAACATACACCTTTAAGGGATTGAGTTTTTTTTTTTTTTCATTTCAGTGCGAAGAGTAGAAATGAAGATGAGATCAAATGGCCAAATCTACAAAAATGGCCAAATATACGGCCCATTCTTAGACTAAAGCAGTTCGTAGACCACACCAATTAGCGAGGTAGAGACCAATGTAGCTTTTATAGAAGAAAGACACTCCTCCCCCGAGATACGAACAAGGAAGTGAGGTAGGAAACGAAGATCAGCTCTCTTTATTCTCCTCTTCTTTCCTTGTTGCTCGCGTTCAAAAGGCTGTAGTAAATAGTTGGAGATGATGACAATCCACTTAAAAATTAACGCAATCACTCCTAAATTAGCTCTGCTCGTCGTCTTTAAGAATTGTTCACGAGCAACGAGAAGCCACAGAAAATGTCAACAAGTTGGACTGTGAAATTGTTAAGTAACTCCTGGGTTACTCTCGTGAGGTATTAGATACAATCTATCTTACTTAATACATCAAAACTACGCACCTTCCACGAGCAAGCAGTCAAGTTGTGCAAAGCCTTGCCGATTCCTCTAGCGTTTGAGTGTTGCTAGCTTTACGTAAAAGCACATAATGCTATTGAATTGTCTGGGCTTGCCAAAGCAGCTCCAGTCCTTGAGCCACTGCATGGCCGTTTATCTTTTCGGACCTTTTTCTTCTTCCTGCCAACACATTCTGCGAAACAGCCCTGGCTCTGTTGTTCCTTGACAGCCGCTGGATCCACATCCACATCAGCGTCGTCAAAACGGTCCCTGTCAATCTCGCTTTCAAGCCGGTTTGACAGATTTCTTAGGGTGCACACACAAAGTTTAAGACACTGGAAATAGAAAAAGGTGAAACAGAGATAATAAACTCTTTCTGATTCTTCCTTCAGTAATCAGTTAATTTTGATTCCCTAGAATCTCAGTGTTTCCGGCCGTTCTGTCTCTGAAAAGAGAGATTTTCTGGAACAAAACAAGGTGTTTCACAAAGTGATTTGTTCTCCTGAATAGCAGAGCCATTAGAAGACCCAATGTGAATATGGCGGTCGCACCTTCAGTCATAATTCGCGATGGCAGTGCACTATATCTCTCTGATGTCACAGCTTTTACAATGTTGCCGGCTCAAGGACTTCGGCGGCATAGCGTTTCACTGTTAGACGTCACGTGACCTGGGAGTAGCCAATGAAAGCACGCGCTATTGAGGAAGGAACATTTTCTTTGTTTCTATCGATATATTAGAAATACGAGTTGACGTTTGGGAGAACGAGAAATGTTGAGAGAACACGAGCGGGTAGGCGAGTGTTTGTATAGCTTTTTCAAGTTCCC